TATGAATGTACCTCTGAAGGTTCTGACTATCTTCAGAAACGATTCGATGGCATTTTGTTTTCATCTTCGCTCCATGTAATACCTAAAGGAAGTGTTCTTAATCGCAATACTGCTTTGTCCACGGAGGTTACAGGAAACAGCTCTAATTCTGCTTTTCCATAAGCGCCACCTGCTGTCAGCGAGTGGATTTACAGAGACTTATATTTACATTCAGTCTGTGTGCAGTTTCTGTCTGGCCGAAAACGGACCGAATTTGCATGCCCTGCTGTAAATTTTGACCGGTTGATGAAAAACAAGCTTATGTGTATTCTACACATTTAAACAATTCAGATAAGTTATCTAGAATTATTTATGGAGCAGATAAAATACATAATCATTTACCAATCAATTATCATTTTGACTTATATATTTTCTTTATTTAAAGGCTGAAATGTGAGGTTTACCTTTTTATTAAACTTTTTCAAAGCTTTATTTGAACATTTACATTAGATATTTCAACATGCTATTAAACTGTTGTCAGTCAAGTTGTCATTTAAAATCCGAACATCATTGGTAATGTTATTGTTATAGTTTGTTGATTTTTAAATATACAAGTTAGTGAAATGATTTGTGTGTCGGTACTTTTTTAACATATCCAGCACATTTTAACAATAGCATGATAATACTGGTAACCGTGATAATTTTGGTCACTATAATCATGATAAGAAATTTTCATACCGTTACATCCCTACTCTCGATAATGGCAGAAGACGTGATTTGGAGGAGAAGAATTGTTGAAAAGTCGTTACCTTTGTTTTCTTTGCACACAAAAAGTATTCTCGTAGCTTGGTAAAATTAAGGTTCAGCCACTGATGACACATGGACTGTTTTACTGATGTCCTTACTACGTTTCTGGGCCTTGTAACATTTCAGTTGCATTGCTGTCTAAGCAGGGTCAGAGAGCTCTCGGATTTCATTTCATCAAAAATATCTTAATTTGTGTTCCGAAGATGAATGAAGGTCTTACAGGTTTGGAACAACATGAGGGTGAGTAATTGATGACTCATTTTTGATGATGATCCATTTCTGGGTGAACTATCCCTTTAAAACATAAACATCACCTGTCTATACACATGCTTTGCATGTTTGAGAATGGCTATGATGTCCCCGATGACTGTAATTCCCAAGTCCATCATTATTTCCTTACTGAGGTCCATGAGCATGCTTTTCTGAATCCTGAAAACAGAAAAGTAGTTGAGGCTTTTACAGCATCCAGTTGTGCAGTACGTGAGTAACATTTGGTTCAGAATGTTGTCCGTTCAAATTTCAGAGAAGGCCAGATTTTGACTGTTAAAAATGGTGAGTAGACATCCAGCAAGTAAAGCACACATAAGCAGACTGAGACCGATCCTGTACTGAAGCCGATGAACTAGTTCATGTCTATTTAGACATGCTTACTACAGTGGGTACCTTTACAAGGACATCTTTTGCTTCAGTTGGAATGAAATTATTCTGATTATTCTGAGCTATTCTGATGATACCCAGATTTACCTAGCCTTATCTCCAAATGACTACAGCCCCATTGACTCCCTCTGCCAATGCATTGACGAAATTAACAGTTGGATGTGCGAGAACTTTCTTCAGTTAAACGAGGAAAAAACTGAAGTCATTGCATTTGGAAACAAAGATGAAGTTCTGAAGGTGAATGCATACCTTGACTCTAGGGGTCTAACAACTAAAAATCAAGTCAGGAATCTTGGTGTGATTCTGGAGACAGACCTTAGTTTCAGTAGTCATGTCAAAGCTGTAACTAAATCAGCATACTATCATCTCAAAAACATTGCAAGAATTAGAGGTTTTGTTTCCAGTCAAGACTTGGAGAAACTTGTTCATGGCTTTATCACCAGCAGGGTGGACTATTGTAATGGTCTCCTCACCGGCCTTCCCAAGAAGACCATTAGACAGCTGCAGCTCATCCAGAACGCTGCTGCCAGAATTCTGACTAGAACCAGAAAATCTGAGCATATTACACCAGTCCTCAGGTCCTTACACTGGCTTCCAGTTATATTTAGGATTGATTTAAGTACTTTTACTCGTTTATAAATCACTCAATGGCTTAGGACCTAAATATATAGCAGATATGCTCACTGAATATAAACCTAACAGACCACTCAGATCATTAGGATCGAGTCAGTTAGAAATACCAAGGGTTCACACAAAACAAGGGGAGTCTGCTTTTAAGTTATTATGCCGCCCGCAGTTGGAATCAGCTTCCAGAAGAGATCAGATGTGCTAAAACATTAGTCACATTTAAATGCAGACTCAAAACTCATCTGTTTAGCTGTGCATTTATTGAATGAGCACTGTGCGATGTCCGAACTGATTGCACTATTTTATGTATAATCATTTTCTTAAATTCATTTTAAACCTCTTAAACCAATTTTTTAATCATTTTCAAAGTTTTTAAATTCCTTGTTTTATTGTTAGATTATTATTTTTTTTTCTTTTATGTAAAGCACTTTGAATTACCATTGTGTATGAAATGTGCTATATAAATAAACTTGCCTTGCCTTGATTGATGAATCTGAATGCAGCATCTAAATAAATTGGGTTGATGTGCAGGTTTATAGATCATAAGCTTCATGTCAGATTTGATCTTTTGACACGCACACACTGCACAAATATACAGAATTTCCTGTTGTTTGCACATAGTGTTCTCCTACCATTGCTTCTTTACTTTGTTTTAAAGAGCAGAATTCATATTTATCTTGGGTCCTAATTAGGAGACGACAAGCACATGTCGCTTTGTGCTGTGCTGTTTATATTTATCAAGCCATAAAATTGCCCATTCCTGTGGCCAAAACAAGTTATCTGTGAATGAGAGAAGTGAGGACTGATGAGATGTTGTTCTGCTCCACTTCACAGACAATCAATGGAAGGAGAATTCTAGAATAACATGATAGTCATTCATGACACTTCATTCTGCAAAAACAACAGATTGTTCCACCTGTCATACATCATTATGACATTTCTACATCATTACGCATGCGCAGTACTTTACAGTTCCAGTTTTCAATGCGATTAAGTGTTTACATGTCCTCTAGATCAGGTTTAGAAAGTCTACACAACCCATTTCCAATCCGAACAAAATTTAAAGGGGGGTCATATGATGCGATTTCAATTTTTCCTTTTGCTTTGAAGTGTTACAAGCTCTTGGTGAATAAAGAAGAGCTGTAAAGTTGCAAAGACTAAAGTCTCAAATCAAATAAAAGTTAAGAGTCAACCACGCCTACCTAAAACGGCTCGTTCTAACACACCCCCACATGTCTACGTCACGATGTGGGAAGATTTGCATAACGTCGCCCAAATGTTCACGCAAAAGGCGGTGTAACTTTTATTCTCGCTGTAGTATTTTTGTTGCCGCCGCCATGTCGTGAAGACGCTGTGTTTCGTTGTGAAAGCGAAACTACTTTGTTTGGCCTTCCAAAAGAGGACGATATCCGCTTCGTCATGCCTGGAGCTGATCCGTGCTGGTCGCGGAGGAAATACATCAACTTCGCGCTGTGGATCGCCGGATCGGCTTTCACCGTGGACGAAGCGGAGTCCAGCCCGGGGTTGTCACATGTGGTTGCTGCAAGTCCGCCGGCCACCACTCACTCTAGCCGCCGTGTTTCTCGTTGTGAAAGCGAAAATACTTTGTTTGGCCTTCCAAAAGAGGACACGACTAGAATATATATAGCTTAGTATTTACAACACTGTTCCAGAACAGTTAAACCCAAATATTCAGATGTGTGCAGTGCATTTTATGGAGGACTGTTTCCTGATCCTGGGAGAGTAGACTACAATGCCGGCTGTTCTGACTCACAGACTGCAAGTACGTTTTCATATTTAAAGGATTTGCCACTGATGATTCAAACGAGTTTTGAGCAGTGTAGAGTAGCGTTTGTAGTTTGTCATTTCTCCGATCACAAATGCAGACACGGTTTTATGTTCACGCGGTGCGATGCAACGCATAAAAAGACAGTATTAGTCATTATAATCCGTAATTATGTCCCCACTGGATGCAACAAATACCTCGTTTATAATGGGTTTTAATGTTTTTGTCTCGTCGCTCCAGCCGGACAAGGCATCACATTATGGTAGAGGCATAACATTTCCGTCACACGCTTGAGGTATTCGGCCAATCACGATGCACTGGATAGCTGGCCAATCAGAGCACACCTCGCTTTTCAGACCGATGAGCTTTGTAAAAATCGACATGTTTCAGAAAGGCTGGGCATAGAGGAGAAACAATAACGTACAGTATGTGGAAAATCATGTGTTTTTTTAACCTTAAACCGCATAAACATTTCATTGCACCAAATACACAAATAATGTTCTTCTTAGCAACATCATATGACCCCTTTAATTCAGATCAAGCTCAATTAGATCGATTAAGGTGTTTTCATGAAGGATTTTTAGTTCAATTGAGCCTTCAATCCAATTACTAGTGGATTATTTGGTTGCATGTAAACGTAGCTAGTGAAAGCCAATGATTCGGTTTTACCTGTTATCAACAAACGACACTGCGTAGTTGACAGCCAGTCCAGGAGGGATCCCAGCATCTTTGAAGAACTGGATCCATTCTGAGGTGGCTAAAAAAAATAATAAAGTGGTTATATGCATTCTGAAGAATACGATACATTTTGAACCAAAGAGAAACGTACAAATTTTTGTCACAAAGTGACTGTAAAATTAAAACTGCTAGCAATGTTACACATATTATGGTCAAGACCACCATATTATCTGTTGATATAGAAACAATATTCTATCTTGTCTTATTAGTTTAGCATCCGCAGACAATGTTGTGAACTATTGTGAGCTGTCTCAGAGGAATGCGCAGATAAAATGTATAGGTTTTGAGATATATATATATATATATACACACACACACACACACACAGGTGCATCTCAATAAATTAGAATGTCATGGAAAAGTTCATTTATTTCAGTAATTCAACTCAAATTGTGAAACTCATGTATTAAATAAATTCAATGCACACAGACTGAAGTAGTTTTTGGTAAGTAAGTCTTTGGTTCTTTTAATTGATGATTTTGGCTCACATTTAACAAAAACCCACTCATTCACTCATCTCAACAAATTAGAATATGGTGACATGCCAATCAGCTAATCAACTCAAAACACCTGCAAAGGTACTTCCTTCCAACGAGCAATCTCTGGCTCCAAAACATGTCTTATTCAACGTTCTGTTGCTCCAGTGGGTCATTTTGTGTGTAATTACCGGCACCATAACAATTGTAAGTTTGTTATTAAACGGAATTTTCCACGACAGCCTCAGTCACCTTTTATAATATAGAAAAGAGATGCAATACAAGTGAATGGTGACATTCTGCCTTTTCTTTTTCATCCGTGAAAAAATACAACATCTTATAACAACATCAGGGTAAACAGATGATGATAATACAGTATTTTTTTGGGTGAAAATACCTTTTAAATTAAGGTCTGGCTAATTGTACAATGCAACATGCTATTTCTATTTTATCCACTAGAGGGCGGTAAAATATAATTAATATCATGTCGCTATTTTCAGATGCCACGGACCTGCATATATATATATATATATGATCATCCTTGTGCGACCCCCCCCCACCCCCCCCCCCCCCCCGTGGCTCCGTCTTCGGAACAACTCGACTGACCCGAATGTTCCGAATGAAACGAGCAATCGCTTCTTCTTCTTCTTCTTCTTGAAATTTTATTGGCGGTTGACAAACAACAAAATGGTGTATTTCCGCCACCAACTGGAATGGAGTGTGGATCAAAAAAGTGACTTCCTTCCTTCCAACGAGCAATCTCTGGCTCCAAAACATGTCTTATTCAACGTTCTGTTGCTCCAGTGGGTCATTTTGTGTGTAATTACCGGCACCATAACAATTGAAAGTTTGTTATTAAACGGAATTTTCCACGACAGCCTCAGTCACCTTTTATAATATGGAAAAGAGATGCAATACAAGTGAATGGTGACATTCTGCCTTTTCTTTTTCATCCGTGAAAAAATACAACATCTTATAACAACATCAGGGTAAACAGATGATGATAATACAGTAATTTTTTGGGTGAAAATACCTTTTAAATTAAGGTCTGGCTAATTGTACAATGCAACATGCTATTTCTATTTTATCCACTAGAGGGCGGTAAAATATAATTAATATCATGTCGCTATTTTCAGATGCCACGGACCTGCATATATATATATATATATGATCATCCTTGTGCGACCCCCCCCCCATAACTCATGTGTGCAAAATTGATACTAATAAATATGTGTAAAATATTATTTGTAACATATTGAACATTTATTTATATGTATAAAATATGTAGAATTTATTTATTTAAACTTTACCTTTCCATTGAGATAGAAAGTCTACACTGAAAAAAAAAATCAATAGAAAAACGGAAAACATTCTAGTAAATTTCGGCCAGGACATTAACCCTTCAGTTTACAGGCAATTCCTTTAACCCTAAAACAAAATACAAGTAGGCTAAAATGCATCAGAATAACAAATGCAGAAAATTCCTTCATATTAACACAGTACATTGGGTCCTATTTTTACAGACTAAAGCATGTTTGGAAAAAGAACGGCTAGAAAGTCTTTGTGATTATATTTATTTTGTAGACATTTCCTTTACAAGAAAAATTGGACGTCATACAAAGATAATAAGATAGGACAGTACACCAAGATTTCACAGTCTATGTAACAATATGAAATGTCCTTCTCCATTCATTAAAGGGCTAGAAATATAGCATAAAGTGAAATGAAATGGAGAAAGGGTGAAACGAGAAAGAATGTAGAACGGCGGATTATATAGGCTAATTCACAAGGGTTGTTCAGTATGTATTAAATATGCTGTTCAATATGAGAACTTGGAGCAGTCATGGCGAGGAAAGCACTCTAAAATCACGAGTGTCCTAAACCCATAACCTCAAATCTCCCAGACACCTCTATCATCGGCACTCTTAATCAAGAATATACAAAGACGAACAGTATTGAAAAAGCACCATATCATTTCTGAAATGTTATGTGATGATTCTTATTACACCTAACTTTCATTTCCCTTCAAAATGGCAAAAAAACAAGCAAAAAAAAAAAACGTACGAGAAACACGTCAGCCATCTTTCTTTTCGATTTTTTCAAACAAGTGGTTGTAATATGAGACTAACATTTCACTCATTTTATACTGAAGGCAATCTTCAAATGTGCATTAGAAAGTGAAACAGTTCACCTATCAAATGACACTCATTAAACCCGAGAGGTATTGACTGACATTTTACATCCTCCTAACGCATAACCATCCCGTCATTGAGGTCTGAGCAGAGTAAATCTTACGCAAGGTAAACTGGAAAGACAAAACAAATTGTCTCAATTCTTCACTGTGACACTGTAGCATAAGGAATGACTTTTATCATACAATTCAGTTGATTTGCTACATGGTTCTCCTAGAGTATCTGAAATATTGCATTCAACTGTGTCAATTCAAAGCACTGTGAATTTGAAAATACCTAGGACGATCATAGCTAGAACATTTTTCCAAAGTGGAAGACCACAGAGTCACTGATACTGTATCATTTAACCAACATCTCCTTATGCTATCATATCAGAGTCAGATACAGTAACAAAATGTTTTGGCGTAGGAGTAACAAAAGCACCAACAACTGAAAAATAAAAAAAAAATCACAATAATGTCTTTTGAAGAAAAGTTGAATTGAGATCAATGTAATGGAGCTTGGAGCTGTTTGACAATGGGCTTTCTAATATCATATAACGTCCCACTTTGTGAAATCACAGCTCTGGCTTCATTACGTCACTGTTCGAGATGCCTTAATTCAGTTTTCATTGCCAAATGAGAATGTAATTTCATCAAATGGCTCTGTTGGAAAGAGCTCACGCAGTTGTCTCCGTTTCAGCTTAAATTTGATGCTCTGGGTCTAAATTCAACTAGCAAGACAATGGTGCACCTGTGTATATAAATGTAGCATGAAAAGGCATTTCGATTTAAACAACTGTATAAATATTTTCATTTCCGCCCCATAAAATACTCCAGACGATGAAGCCCAAGTCAATAGGAACAATGGACCTCATCTGATTGTAAAATACTTTCCATCTGTGTATGACGTGGACACGCATAATGTTCTGATCATGTCCTTAATGTGAATTAATAAGGGCTGGTTGAAAGTTGTCCATCAAGCCCTGAATATCACACGCACACAGAAGCCAAAGGGCAGACAGCACACACTGGACATGATAAATCAATGCAACACCACTGCTTGAGAAACACAGCTGAATATCAGATGCTCATCTAGAATACATTGAGACACTCAATTCATATCTTCTTTTTGACTGATTTATTTATGCATTTATAGATATTTTGCGTCCAGTGTGTTTTGTCCACAGGGGTTGATGAACAAGGGCTGTGGAACCAACCTCATTGACAAATCAAGCACAAAGCACAAATCTGTGATACATATATAACACTATATGCACCACAGTTTCAATACAGTCATCATACATATTACACGTTTCGAATGAAAGGCAGTGACAATGCTTTTCATATTAAGGGAAAGGCGGGCTGTTATTGTTTATTATAATATACTTTCTGTTCTTTTAGAAAAATATATGTTTAAACCAAAACCAAGTGCATCAAGCTCTCCCTTCTGTCTTCATTGACAAAAAATAACATTTTCTGAACATTCATACATTACATTACAATCATTGTATATATATATACACACTGAATATGTATATATATATATATATATATACATAATATATACTTATATATATTTTATATATATAGTTTTGACGAGTAGGCGGGCGGCAGGTAGAAAGTGTCCTCCTTCACAGTCAAACCCACCACGGAGACAGAAGGCATCTGCGGGGACGTCTGCGGCAGTGGCAGCGGCGCGGGGGGCTGTTCCTGATAGGGAATTTTGCAGCCGGGTTGGTGGGCGACCAGGACGAACTCCAGGCGTTCCTTCTCCTTTTGCAGCTCGGATATTTCGGCCTCTAGCTCGGCCTTCTCTTCCTCCAATATGTCTGTATCCTTGGGTTGGAGAGACAAGAGGAGGACACAAGGGGACAGAGATTATATGATCACATGAAATGAGGACAAAAACAAGGGTTTCCTTTTATCATAGTAGTTCAGACACAGAGCTACTTCAGAAATACACATTGCTATAGTTTCAGAAAGCGACAACAAAATAAATTTGGAGAAAATGCCGTTTTCTTAATTGCCAACTCCATTTCCACAGTATAATTACGGTGGGTTATGAACTCTTTGTTCTAATTACAATGCAGCATAATGCATATGTGTGTGTTGGAATCATTTACAAACTATCATTGTAAAAATGATTGTTATGAGCAGATTGGCATGTTATGAATCCAGTAATTAGGATGCCTTTGCATTCATCTGTTATTATGGATGAAATATTGTAATGTAACAAGTGAGTTACAGCATCGCTCACCGACTGTAACCTGTCTGTGAGGTCACGCCGTCGGTTCCTACACTTAGCGGCGGCCAGTTTATTTCTCTCTCGTCTAACACGTCTTTTCTCTTCCTCCTCAGGTGTCAGCTGGGAACAGAACAAATTTAGTTAAAAAATTTTTTTTTATCAAAATGTTAAAAGACTAACCATTCTGTCATGGTCCTCACTCACCGTTTCATCGCGTGCACGGCGACGGCTCCGAGACTGTCTCACTGTGCCAGGAGTCTCAGAGCTTGGTGAGGTGAATCCTCCACCCGACGAAAAGCTTGGGCCTGGCAGGTCATAAGGATCCAAAGCAACAGGCTGCGTCATGGTGCTGGAGCCCGTGCCGCTTTGTCCTGGTGCCACGGAGGAGATGAGAGTGGGCTGCACCATCCACTGCAGATCCTGGCTGGTGGTGATGGCCGTCACTGTGGGCACAAATGAGCTGGGCATGTCCACCCCTGCCCTGGTGCCAGTTGACCCTCCACCCACCCCTACCCCGCCAGTGGCTGATACACACTCCTGGAAACCAAAAACATAAACAGTATATAACTATGGACCCCACCAGCTTGCTGTAAACAAAAAATCAATTTTAGTTACTTGTAGCAAAATTAACATTGAGTGAAATAAAGTCAGGGAAGCATTTTCGTTTAGTCTAAAGAGATAGTTTGCCCAAAAATGATAAATCTGTCATCATTCTCTCACCCTAAAGTTGTTCCAAACATGTATGAGTTTCTTTTTTCTGATGATCATGACAAAAGATATTTTGAAGAATGTGGGTAATCAAACAGTTGTGACGGTAGACATTGACTTCCACAGTATTTTGTTTCCAATCAATGGAAGTCAATGGGGACCAGAAACTGTTTGGCTACACATTCGTCAAAATATCTTCTTTTATATTCAACAGAAGAAAGAAACGCATACAGGATTGGAACAGCATGAGGGAGAGTAAACGATGACAGAGAGAATTTTCTCTTTTTTGGTGAACTATCCCTTTAACTTGAAGTACTGAAAAAAACGAAAATGAAATAAACAAAATACAAAAACTAATTGATTAAAACTGTAAATAAAATTAAAATGACAACTGAAAATCTCAAAATAAAATCCAATTCAAAATATTAACAAAGACTATAATAATATATCAATGATAGCAAAATACCACTTAATGTAAAGCTGTATTTTCCTCCATGCAAAGATAACAGACTAAAGATCATGAAAACAGAAAAAAAAGAGTTAGGATAATGAAAAGCATCAAAAATATGAAAAAAACATGGATCCTTATCAGAGTTTTCTGTTTAAAAGCTGCTTTAAAATTCCAATAAAATACGTGTCCAAATACAAATAGCCTACATAAACGTCGTGGATATCTGTGAACACATCTGTGAACAGCTATTAAAACATATTTAGGAGAAAAATCTAAATTGCTACGTTTTCTTTTTTTTTTTTTAGAAAAAGAAAGTCCAGTGATGCCAGTGTGAGTTGCATGTTTCATTAATATTCATATCAAAGCGTGTTAGGCAAAGGCGCACGCAGCACGCCGTAGCCAATAAGCGGCCTCTAATAGCCCCTCCTGTCCCTGATCCTCCGCCCCCGTCACACCCCCGGTGTTCCCCCTAGCAACGCAACGTAACACTCCAAAATAGAACGCATTGACGTCACGCCGAAGTCTGAGAAGCGAGAGCAGCAGCGCTGAGAGCAGGGCGGAGCTTCGTGTGAGAACGCCGGAGAGTTCCACAGCGTGCTGCAAACCCGCCACATTGCTACCGGCCTGATTCCGCGCGCATGCTGACTTGTCAGTATTCTATTGAATTCTATTCCGACTTTACACATATAAACACACTCGAACGGATTCAAATGCATTCCCTTAGCAACGTCGCTGCGCTTCCCTAACAGAAACAAGCAAATCTCGCAGCTGCCGTGCTGCTTAGCAAAACCGTTTGTACGGACAAACACGATGTTTAAATGCGAATAAATACTGGGACTTACTTGCGGTGCGCTGGTGGTGGGCGGACTCCCGAAGGATTCCACGGACGACAGGTACTGAGATTCAAGAGAAGGAGATGAGCTTCCACGGGAGCCGGTGTCGGGGTCTCCGGGGAACCCCTGAAACATCTCCCCGGTGGAGCCGAAAGAAGCCGAAACACCTACTGTGCCCGGCGAGAACGGGATGTCACCTGTCACCCAACAGAAGTCACACTGAAGCGCATTTTCGCCAGGACATCAACTATTCGCTTGCGTTTAATGCACCATAAAAATAGAAAGGTGGATGCATTGCATCTAAATATTTGTATTATATTAAAGTCACCTACCGTAACAAGTTATACTTGGAGTCTTCGTCAAGATGCCCTTAGTCTCTTTCCAAAACAGTTGCATTAAGACATCAATCCAGTTCCCTGCTGGAGGAAACTTCTAAAATCCAATCTCTCCTTGAATAACACTTCCCAGGCCGTAGTACAATCCGTGAAATGTGCATTTATAAATCCATAAAATAATCCGGAATGTGTTTATTACAAACGGGAGTAGAAGGTGTTCGGTGTTTCGGCAGCAGCGCTTCGTCTTGTGAATGAAGCCTTGAGAACGCATTGTAAAGTAGGGAGTCCTGGCTCCTCCTCTTACTGGCGTTCCGCTGACGTAGGTGCCCATATATGGTCCAAAAGCACTGTTTTTGTTTTCGGTATCTAAGCAATATGACGTGTAAGGGATTCCCTCGCCCACAGAAAGAGACGGCTCGATCGCAGTCAAGAATAGGTACGTTTACTATTACTTCCACAAGATATTTTTAATTGTTACATGGTTTTCACGGACAATATTTAGAAACGACACGGTTTGCAAATATTGTTTACGTCAACAAAATAAAATAAAAAAATGCGTTATGCTACCAGTAGCCTTATGTAATTGTTATGCCACTATCAGATAGTTAGCTTTAAGGCAGTGTAGCAGGTGTTTGAGGGGCATTAGACATTCTCTTGATTAATGCATACTTCATATGTTAGTTTATGTAATTTAGCGAAGGAAAAAAATGAGACTGAGTTGACTAGTCAACATTTACTCACCCACATGCTGTACTAAACCTGTATCGCTGTCAGATTTGGTGTTTATTGTACAGTATTATCTACAGGATAACTAATTGCATCTGGGTATCTACAATCAACATAAAATAGTGATGTCAGTTTATTGCAATTAATTAGGAAATTAAAGAAAAAAATCTATTAATCATGCCCTTTGACCCTGTATGTAAATTCCATAATACAGAATTTCCTTACTATAGATGATATATATTCCTTACTTTTACTATAGTTAAAGCTTGAAGCAGGTTACAGTATTGAACAGAATGCCATGTTCTTGAAAGCTTTTTAAAAAATGTGGCCACATTCCATGAAAAACAGCAAGTGTCATGTAACATTAGTGTACCAACTATGCAAATGTTATAAAACGAATGATCATATGCTGGTAATTATTATAAATATCAAGTAAAGAGACTGTAATTTAACTGTTGTATATTGTGTATAATGTATAATGTATAGAGTAGTCTTTCTGCTGTCCCCATCACCTTACTGTTTATGTTGTATCCTACAATAAAATACTTGACTAGTAAAACTCAGTACATTCAGGACAGTGGTTTTCAGTCCTGGTGGGAACCCTAACACTGCTCATTTTGTATGTCTTCCTTATTTAACACACTTGTTTCAGATCATCATCTTGTTGGGAACTGAACTGAGAATGTCACGTAAGTACATACCAGTGCTGTGGATCACCAGGATTCGAAATGACTAATTTAAGAGATGCAGTTTGTGCTGTAAGTGAACTGAAAAACCAAATATTAATTAAAATTATTCAATTGGGGGTCTAGCTGTTCCAAAGACAGAAACTGTGGTGAGAAACTATGTGCTATGAAGTACAAAAGATGACTCGCAGACTTGCAGTGTGAACTGATTGACACTGCAAGTCATTAAAGCTCTAGTAAAAGACTATGATGAATACAGAAACGGAAGTGTAAAAAAAATCTGAAATAATGGCATTTCCTAGATCATCTTAAGCAGGAGAGCATACAGGCTGAAGTTATGAGGAAGCCTAAGGTTTAAGTTTTATATTAATGTGTAAATTGCTTTGCTGAACAAATACTTCAGCCTATTTGTTTTAATTTATTTACAGATTTTTCATACTTATACATTTTAAATAGCATGTGCACCTATGCTTTAAAAAAACAAAAAACATATTAGCTGTTATATACACATATAGAAATAAAATGTATTCTTTTTAAATGTTTTGTTAAGTAAGTTAACCTACGAGATGACATATAGGCAGGTCATTTGGCATGCTGATATGGCCAGTAATCATGAACTAACTTGCAGGGAGAGTTTACTGAGATGATCATCATGTTTCATTGTTTCTTAGGTGACTGGAGTTTGTGTGGTACACTGTAAGAAACTGACTGTGAAATTCACAGTAATTAACTGGCAGCAAGTGACAAGTAACTTACTGTAGAAGAAATAACCATATTTTCACTGTTTTCATTTACAGTAGCAACCATGTAACTGTAAAGTAAAACTCACTAATTTGCAAGTGCAACCTTTTTTTTGCTTATTACACAGGACAGTGTAGCGGTTGGTGGGGAATGTGATCAGCAAAGGACCATAAGCCAGGAATCGAACACAGGCCACCAGAGACACAGTTTCACTATATGTCAGTGCGCTAACCACTAGACTATCGGTACCGACAGGTTCCCCTGCTGTTTAGTTATATTGGTTCAGCCCCAAAAAAAGAAAAAAAAGAATATGAAATAAATAATGCATGTTGCACGATTTAAATATAAATATTAATTTATCAACAGTCTCATTATAACAAGCTTCATTAATCATTCTTCACTTATTGCTAGATGTGTTGAAAACAATCAAATCTTGACCTTCTGGTAATTTTTAAATTTTTTTTATTAAAGAATACATTTGCTTCCTGTATTCTCTATTCAAACCTAAAATGTAATTGAATTACAGTGAGGTTAAATTAAATGCAGTCATTGGCTGGAAACCCAGCTGCCAGTGTAGGCTACTGTGTTTTCCTTCCCTATCCCAGTTTTCAGTGGTTTCAGTGTATGGCAGTATTTTTTTTTACAGCACATTGTTGGTTACTGTAATTTTCTACAGTACATAATTAGTTATTGTGTTTTCTACAATACATTGGAAGTTACTGTGATTTTCTGCAAGACATTGCTGGTTACTGTGACACTCACAGTACTTCTTGTATTACTGCAATTTTGACTGAAACTACGGTATTCTGCTGTGAACCAGTATACAGTAATTTCCTGTGCACAAACACAGTAAATTCCTGTAGATTTCACGTGAAAATTTTTACAGTGTACTGGCAGAACAATGAATAGGAAAATGTGTTTATTTGCATTTCAGTTCAAACTGCCCAACTTCGCTCCTCGCTTTTGGTTGTTCTCATGCATTTGGCTTTATGCAAAAATAAAGCTTTAAACCATTTTCCTGTTTTGGCACTACTTCAGAGCCATATTGTTTGCTTTGGTTTTTTGTTTTTTCTTGGATTAACCCTTGCCGTCCTGCTCCAAAAAAGTTCCATATTGCAGGGGAGCGCTGTATGTTTTGTTTACCCGACGCTCTCTGTTTTCGTCTCTCTGGTCTTTGTACAGCTTGAACCCCTGCAGCAATCACGAGAGTGTCTTGTTTCCTGGGGAGGCGGGACATGTTTGCTTGGTTCCCTGCCCAAAATATTTGTAACCAGGCAACAGCTAGGCCCATCCCACAATAGCTCTGTGTTGTTGACACCCCTCCTGGCACCCCCCCTTGCGTTGCATAACCTCTTTCTCTAACTTCCCAGCACCACAAATCAAAATTAGCAGTCTCATAAAACTCTGCACGTTCTCAAAGAAAACGGCACAATCAGTGTGCTTCTGTTTTATTGTCCTGGACCTTCACTGCATGAACTTCGTAGAGTTTACTCTTTGGGCTTGGGCTGCCATGTTTGCACAGACGCACGGAGTTGCAAAGAGCCGGAACATCTGCAGTTGAACTGAAAGTGACTGTCTGCTGCTGTAACGTCCATTAACATGGGGGTTTGTTTACACAGACTTTGGCTACATTTTAGTTGCCTAGAAAAACAATACTTGCCTTATAAAGCATAAAATGAGTGCAATGCTAATGAGTGAGGAAATAGTCTTATATACGTGGCTGTTGAGAATATGAACTTGAATGTTACCCTACTGAAAAAAAGTTTTATGTGGTCTGCAGGCTGGTTTTGAGCAGCGATTTTCAGACTTTCTTCTTTTAACCAATGAATTTACATGACTTTTCCAGATGTTAACTGGATGTTGTTTACAACAGTTGTTGAGGGTGTGAATTAAAATTAGATTTTTATTTTTATTCTGTGTTTTGTCTTATTTATTTATTTAATGAGGGACAATACACATTATTAATATGTAACAAATGTGTCAGATTCGGCCAAATGGACTAATTTTCATCCATTGAACATAAAAGAAGATATTTTGAAGAATGTTGGTAATCAAACAGTTGTTGGTCCCCGTTGACTTCTATAGTATTTCTTTCCCTACTATGGAAGTCAACAGGGACCAACAAGGGTTTGGTTCTTTAACTCTTTCCCCGCCAGCATTCTTTTTAAAAAGCTGCCAGCCAGCCACCACTAGCGATTTTGATGATTTTCACTAAAATTTGATGGCCTCCAGTATATTTTGCTGTATGAATATTTGAATATGCAATACACCAAAATAAAGTCTCTACTTTTAAACAAACAAAAAAAAATCAGTTTTATTCTAGCTTAAAGCATTCTTTTTTTATCAACACTTGAATAGAGGTAGGTTTCATAAAACTGCATAATTTTGAGCAAAAAGGTGAGAAAATCTAATTTTTATAAAAAACTACATCTGGATAATATTCAGTACGATTATCAAAGCATAAATCCAGTAAATCGCTTCCATCAACACCTCCAAAGCTTGCACAGACATATACCACTTCCAGAATCAACATTTTACTCCGTAACATTATGCAGTTTTCATTTATATGCTGTCTGTTTCTGATAATTGCATTATTTTTCATATGCATCTGTTTACATAAGAGATTGCTCGTTTCTCTGTCCTGTTCACGTGTGTTTTTTGTTCGGGAGGTTTTGTACTCGTTCAGAAGATGTGTAATAGCACCCGCGAGTGTATAACAGTGAAAAGCCATAAAAACTCGTCTTTGGCGGGGAAGCGTTTTCTTCTAAAAGACGAGATAACTCGTCAATGGCGGGGAAAGAGTTCGTAAACCTCAAGCGCGTCAAACATAGCCTACTTTCAGCAGGCCACATGCCAGACAGAGAGGCACAGCGCTGGATCAGAGCGAGAGATTTGCACTCTTTCTCTACCTCTTCTCTGCATATCCATCAGTCTCCAGCAAGTATTTCTCTCAACCCCCACATTCTCTGTCCTGCTCTTCGCATCCATCTCCCCCACTCCTCCAATGCTTATGCAACAGTTGCCCTATTTTTATGGGGGAGGTTGTGAGGGAAGAGAGATTGAAAGAGCAGGTGGGAGGGAATG